CATTAATAAAAGCATAATTTCGAGCTGAGTTTCGGGGTCATCCCAGTTTGCAGATTAAAGCGGCAAATAGAAAAAATAAACATCGTCTTTATATAAACATATAATATTTCAGAACTCACGACACCTAAATTAAATAAATTTGAGACATCTGGGTAGTCATCATTAATGTCTAGACAGTCCTGATAAACCTCCTGCTATTTATTTTATACAATTTCAATATTTGTTTTATCCTTTTTTTTTGTCTGAATCCTTAAGATCCTTTACGAATATTCATTCTTATTTTACAAATATTTTATGATATCTAAACGGATTCTCAAATCATCGAAACTCACGTACTTCAGTTCCTCTTATCTTCACCACGTACGCTTTTGATATTAGAATTTTTCGTATACATATATCACGTTATTGATTATTATTCAACGAAAACTACTTCTTTTTTCATAGTAAAGATCCCTCTAATTCTCTGGTCGAATCTACTTTCGTTAGCCGTTCATAACACACGAACTTACAACTTAATCTGTCAACTTGTCTGTATCGTCTTGTATCGGTATTAAATAGTCTGGTTAGAAGACAGTGTTTGACCCTTTTATATTGTATACATTACGGTGCAACACGCTCGTAATAATGCATTATGTAGTGCACATATACAGGAACTCAGAATAAGGCAATAGCGATCCAACGAGTTGGAATTCTGCCTATCTCCTTATATAGTCTACCAATCAGCGTTCAGAGTTTTCATTTTTTTTTTTTATATACACTATAATCTTGAAGCAGATAGAAGCTGGCATATTACAGTCTATACACGATCAGATTAGTTAGCCTTTTTATTTCTTTCGCAGCATTATGCAACAGGAAGCAGAATTATATACCACTTATTTTTGTACTAATCCTATCGCTGTTCTTGTCGCTGCTGCTTCGCATTAATTGTGTCTAAGGCTTAAGTAGTCAGAGAAATTTTAAAAATGATCTGGAGAAAGCTTACCTCAAAATTGACAGTTGAAATGAGTGATATAATAGAAACAAACAGCAACGCTGTATAGAAAAATGCCATAGAATGTTGTAGAGATAGAACTCAACAGATTTAGACTGGATTGTTTCATCTTTCGGTCTTCAGCTCACAGTTTATCTAAAGATAAAACAGCCGGTACTAAGAGCCCTAAGAGCTAATTATTTTATCTTTAGATAAACTGTGTAGTAAGTTACTTATTGGATAAACAAAAGAGTAATAAGAGTAAGAACAAGAAAGAGTAAAAGAGTAAAAGAGTAAAAGAGTAAGAGAGTAAGACAGTGAGCTGAAATTTATCGAAAGGAACAATTCAGTTATAAGTATTGTAGAGATGAAATTTAACAGGGCTGCGTTCGGGTTCTCATCTGGGTGTTCCTTGGATGTCATGCCATCCTTGTTGTTTACCGAACGTTAAACAAGGATGACGCGACACCCGAGGAGCACTCGGGTGGGAATCCGAACGCAGCCCAGATATGTAAATAATTAAGACTAAGGCCATATTCAGAACGCGCTTACGTGCTATATTTTACGTTACGTATATTATAGAAATTCGGAGATAAAAGCGCGTTCTGAATACAGACCTTAATTTGTATGTCTAAAATCTTTAACGATCAGACGATGATAATGATGATGCGTCAAAGAGGGATAAGGAGCTAATTTAAAAGATTATCTTCTATGTTCTATAAAATATTTAAAATGTAGACAATTTGATTTGTTATACGAATGTTTAAAGTGCGTTTAATAATTTTTTTTTACTTCAAAGAACGAAAACTGTGAGTATAACAACCGTGATTAAATACGCTAGAATCCCGGTGTGATCATTACAGTACTTTCAAAAAGTATGACCATGGATTAAATAATTTTTGTAATATATATTATATAATTATAATTTAATTAAAAAATGTATTTTTAATTACACGATTAAAAGTAAAATTTGAAATTTGTTTTTATTCGTTCTGTAAAAAAAGGATAAATCGATATTCGATTATGTGTGCACACTTTCATTCTTATTATACTATTTATATGTATATTAATTTATGAAAATTTAAAATTTTGAAAAGTTATTATTATTGCTCCTTTTTATAATATTATACAATAATAAATACAAAAATTCATGACAAACGATAATTCGATATTTGATATTACGCAGAAGTGCTCATATATCTAATTAAAATTATGTATTAGACTACTATATATAAGAATAATAAAAGGAAATTAAAACTTGGATCTATGTATATGCGAATGAGATTTGTAGGATATTCTTAGAGATTGTTTGGAGTTACCATATCACCATGTACAGATCTACACAGTCTATTAAGTTAAAAATTAAATAATAAAGTTTTCAATTACGCAAGAAATTGTAAATTTGATTAGATTATAGAGTGCTAAGGCACCAGAGGTAAATGCAAATAATAATAGTGATTAATATTATGTTACTTGCTATTAACATTAAGATCATTAACTATAGAAGTTTATTTTGTGTGTAAATATGTTTAATAGTAATACATGTTGCAAAGATATTTATACATGTTTACATATACAGGTATACCCTACATCTCTTGATAGTCTCAGACTTCTCTTTCTCATTTATTTCAGAGAATAAAAGAAATTAAATATTTTTTGTATATACTCATCCCGTTAATTGCTATTGTATTTCAATCATATTCTTATTATAACTTAAAAACCAATTATTATCGAATTTAAAAAAATGATTATTTTATTAATATACTCTTTTGTATAGTTTTTTCTTGTCACATAACTTTTATAAATTATTTTCGTAAATAAATAAACAACAATGATAAGAAAATATATAATTTCATTCAGTATTATATCACCAATTATCAAAATATTATCACATTATGCACGTTATACGTTTACGAAATATAATATATATGTATTATGAAACATATAGAGTGTCCCTCTACAAAATATCAAAACTGCTACAGCGGCTTCAACACATGAACACAAGTCGAAAATGTGAAATGTCTAATAGACATGTCCAATTCCAAAAAGTTTTAGAATTATGGGGTATTGAATAAAAAAACATAAATCGAAGTAAATATTCAGAGTCCTTTATTCTATTGTTCTGATTCCTGACTCTTATTCTGATAGTAGGTCTTTTATTCATCTCCAAAATAAAATTGAGAATTCAGAACAATTGTGCCAAGAAATACTTAATGCTGCCGATATCATTCGCGAAACTCCAAATATTTTTCAAAAAGTCCGAAACAATTTATTAATTTATACTAAAAAGTATGTCGAAGTCGATGGAAGAATTTTTGAACATCCTTTGTAAAGCATTAAATAGAATAATGAACATTAAACAATTTATTACAATCAGAGAGAAACCTGAGTGTGGACATCCTTTTTTTATGTACAAAACCTCGTAAGGTAATGTCCACGTTTTTATGGTTCTCTTCCATACTATTATGTGGATTAGACAAGGCCAATCAACTTTGATTATTTTCTTTGTTATGATTCATGTTTTCTTATTTCAATATTCCATAATTTCAAAATCGTTCGCAATCGGACATTTGTTTATTAAACATTTTCGACTAGTTTTCACATGCTGTAAAGTCGCTGAAGCAATTTTAGCACTATATGAAGAAACATCTATAATACTATTTTATGTATAATACTATTTTAGGTTTCTATATTATGTAATTATTGAATATAATAAATAATGGAGAAACATCTTTTAGTACATGGCAATTAATAAGACGAGTTCAATACTTATATTTTTCCGATATTACCTATGTATGTTCATCATTTCAGATAGTGCAATCACATGTAAATAAATAAGTTTTTCACTTAAAAACATTTTTATGTTAGATACTTTACTGTAAAGTTACAGTCTAATGATATACATGGACTGGATAACTTTTCTTGCACTCATGCACTTGTAATCGTGATTATGATTCTAACTAAAAATTAATATATAATTATTCTTTTATAAAAGCCTAAACAATAAAGCCACTTCAGACAAATATTGCTTTTTATTTCTACAGTTTGGTGTGCTGCTGTGAACGCAACAAGATCGCTTCTCCAAATATTTTCGAATTTTTGTTCCAATCTACAAAGTTCAATAATCCCTTGTGAGATCACAATATTTGAAAATTAAATATTTATTCTCAATAAAAGACAAAAATTACGACATCACATATCAAAGATAATATTTGAGTCATTAATCAATAAACCACTTAGAATAAAACTCTAGATCTGAAACTGTTATATACAATATTTATTGATACAATTATAGTCAAATTTGACAAAATTCCTGTCAAAACATAGTGTTTCTACGATACTGTCCCAATACATGGATGCATTCCATATTTCTTGTTTATATAATTTTATCTTTACACAATCCTAAGACGGAATTTTTTTGGTTTTCTACTTTGCCATATGACCTACTTTATATCGTATTATGCTGCGTCACATATTTTCGATTATTAGCTCCGACGTTAAATCATTCAAATTTTTAAGATAACACAACGGCTGCCATATATATGAATGCATGTAAAATATTTAAAGGTACTATAAAAAAAGAATACACAAATGTGATAATTACGCACAATGGTTGATTTTGGTTTTAATAATTGCAGGCAATTTAGCAGTTGTTGCTAAACATATACATTCCTCTTGTTACCTCTGTGTGTATGTGTGTGTGTGTGTACACAGTGGATGATTAAGATCGACAAGAGGTATAGAAGAGCAACTGCTACAAAAGGCAGTAAAATGTCAGTATGACAATCAACAGGACAGTACGATAGTCAAATGTCAGCATGACAGTCTTTTGAACACCATGAGGTCATGGGAACACTGAGAACTGTAATTCGCTACGATACCATCTCGTGCCAACCGCTGCTATTTGAAGAGTTGGTTTCAAGCGAAACTGAAAGAATAAGAAATATGTGAAAAAGAAAGGAATGCGAAAGATAGTATATCAATATGATATATTAGAGCAATTCTTTCATACATGAAAAAAGTGTATCTTAGATTTTATTGTGTAAAAACTTACCTGTTTTATCATTTTCTCCATCTGAATATGATCTTGGGCCCCATATTCTCACTGTAAAATCATCTGATACAGAAGCCATCATTTGGTGATACACAGGATTCCATGAGACACAACTGACTAATCTACTGTGTCCTGTAAGAATCGCTATAGGCAGTTCTCTTTTGATATGCCATACATACACTTTATTGTCTGTAATAAAGCAGGAAAAAAACAATATATATTTGTTCATAATTATTAGTCATGTTGCATAATTACTTTTCTTTAAATAAAAACTAAATAGTACATAATGACATGTACATAATGTAATGTATAAAAATACATCTTATTTTTGCATATGACAAACCTTCACTGCCAGAGGCAATAAAATCTTGATTAACTCCTCCGAAACAGCTATGGACAGTAAAATGTCCTTGAGTGACGCCTTGAAAACGCCTTATAAGGGATTTATCTTCTAAATCCCAAAGATGTATACCTTGATTTGCCACATTAAGTAATACGAGTCGATCTGTTTTGTCTACGCTAAACGACATAATGGGATTATCCTCTTGTAATCTGTAATGATATACAGAAATATCTCTGAAAAATTTTGCTCACAAAGTAATACAGGTTATCAGTCATTATTAATCATACATAGTAGCATCGCCTAAGTCGTCGAAAGTATAGCTGCGAATTCTGTGATGTGTATCAGCCGCTAGAACAGTCCTCCCGTCACTGCGACACCACAGACATTTTACTCTTACTCCTTCCCATGAATCAGAAACATTGCCATCCATATCCTGAATATTTTTATATTTATAATGTTTTGTAATTGTAAAGAATTAATATTTTACTTATTGAGAATTTTCAAAAAGTAGTTTTACGTTCCATAATATTAATGTTATAAATTTTATTTATTTCGAAATTAACGTACGCATTGATAAAATTGACCACGAATTCCTCCCGTCACAAATTTATTCGAATCACGATGCCAGGCACAAGCTGTCAGCGAGTCATCCGTGCTTTGTGTCAATTTTACGCGTAATTCGCAATCAGGCGTATCGATACTCCAAAGCCACAATTCTGGGCAATCTTCAGGACCGCAAACAATTAGATGATTGCTATCAGGGCTCCAAGCAATTAGCGCTACACCATATGAATGACCTTCAAGTGTTTTCCTATGCGTCACTTTTAAGGTTTCCTACATTACATTTAAATAAGTGTTATTAATTATACATATATTCAAAAATAAAACTATATAAGCTATTTGCTACTCGTTTTAAATTACAAATTTTGTAATTAGTTTTTTAAGCAAAAATTTTGAAAGAGATTATTTACTACAAATTTTCTAATTTTCAACATTATATATTTTTATATATTATTATGTATCAACTAAATCTCAAATTTCTATCAAAGTAATGAAATCAAAGTTTTGAAATTGTCTAAAAAATAATGAATAAGGTGAACCTGAGCCGAATAAGATTTATCATCTAATTAATTTCATTTTTTTTTAATTCTATTTATAGGGATATTGAAATAAACTAAGTGAGAATCAAATCTTTCTTTCATTTACTCACAAAAATAAAATATATTATTTATATAGAATATTTGTAAATGAACGAAAAAAACATTTTTTTTAAACTCTGACATTGGGCTTTATTATATGCATATAATAAGGCCCAAATAAAAAATAAATAAAAAATAATAAAGAAAATAAATATTATCTTTCTAAATCAGTTTTAAAATGATTTTATTAATCATAAAAAGAAAATTCCTTAGGATTTACTCTACTCTCAAACATTACAATTATCTTTAATTTTATCTGTAAGTAAGTCTAATACTTTGGAAATTTCTAGCAATTTGAATGCAATTTTAACTTCTTAAAAGATAGCAGCATTAAAAATCGTTGTTCTCTGATATAAGCCACACATAACAAATAAATAACAATCATGTCAAGTCATAATAATAATTACATAAATGGGCCTTATTTAATAAATACATTGCTTAAAAAAATATTTATATTCATTAAAAAAAATTGATTTATTTATTTTCTATAGCTAGGAAGTTGAATAATATTATAATGTATTATAATAAACTATGAAACAATGTGTACTGATAAACTTTGTTGCGAATTGTTGGGATTAAAGAATTGGAATCGATAGTAATAAGTTTGTTTTTATTATAACAAAAACTTATATGTATGAGCCTAAAAATGGCTCAAAATAGTTTATTATTCGTTTATTCTTTTTAAAATATATTCTTAGGAAAAATTTTTCAACTTTTGTTTTCAATCATTTATTCAAAATTTTTCATAGTTGTTTTTTTGAAAAAAAAAAAATCGTGTCAAAGTTGATCAAAAAATTCACAAAAAATTTCTTTATTCAAGAAAATATGATATACACACACTGTTAACGGCGCATACAATATTATGTATATATACTCACTGGATCTACATCCCATATAATTACAGTCATATCTTTAGAACCTGTGGCGAGCTTGAGACCATCGGGTGAAAATTTGCAATACCAAACTTCGTCGCAGTGATCGTTGAGTATCTGTATAGTATGGCACGGAAATTGTTCCTCGCCACAATTATGATCCACAAGTAGAGAGACATTTTCTAGATTTGTCTGCTTTACAAGAAAAATCATTTCATTATGACATATTGCATGAGATATTATTGAGAATAATTTTAACAGCAAAAGCACATAAACTTATTTGTTATATGTATAATAATAACAATAAAATAAATCTGCTTTCATAAACGTTTTTGTATTGCACAGAATTTCAATTTAAAAGTCATATGTACAACACCTACAACTTCGAAAAATGAGAAAAGTTTTATAAAAAATTTTTTTGCATATGTCTTACAGCAAAAATTTCGCAGTTATAAGAGAATATATACAATCGAAAAATAAATGTTTTATAAGATATTTTATATCTCAAAATATCAGAATTAAAGTGTAAAATATTTATTTTTTAATAACTAATAGAACTTTAATAAAAGATAAATTATCTTAATACTTTAACATGTAGAATAATTAAAAGAAATGTTATGGAAGAAAATTCGCTGTTTTTTTTACATAACACAATACTTTTAAATAAAAGGTATCGATGAAGTTGCATATATATTTTATAAAAAAACACATGATACAAAAAAATTTATTACATGCATCATATCTTATTCTCCTAAAGCCTATTCTATAATGTGCTCTTTGTTTCCTGTTTCTTGTTTTTCCTTTTGCTTTTTTCTCCTTTGCAACCATTTTATCTCTTGCAACCATTGTATTTCTTGTTTCTTTCGAAGTTTGTTAACTTTTTTCTCGGGCGATATAAAATAAAAAACCGGATAAAAAGCAAAAAGACAAGATGTAAAAAATAGCAAAGTTCAAGAAACAGGAAACAAAAAGCACTGTAGAAAAGCATTGTTGAACAGGCTTTAAGGAGAACGGATAAAAGTCGTCGATTTTTGTTCCCAACCAGGAAGTGAAATGTATATGTTTCTTTATAGTTTTTGGGCTGCAGAATCACGTGAAGCAATCAGTTTTCCATATATAAACATGAAGGGAACATAAAGAATAAAATCCTTTATTCACATCGTTATGAAATTGCTGTCAATTATGCTTTAATAATTTAAAAACTGATAGTTTCCGTAATGATGTGAATAAGGATTTTATTAACTTTATTTCAATGTACCAATTTTTTTCTTAAGTGTAGGATCGTTATGATAATTTTCGATTTTTCGAATATAAGGAAATGTAGAAATAAAGCGATTCCTGATCGACCGTAAAAAAAGTATACATATTTTTAACTATCTATTTCTTTACCTAAATAAAATATTCAAGAAATCGAAAAAATCTTATTTCTGAAAGAATAGTATACTTAATTTTATGAATTTTGCAAGTGTATACATTTTTTTCACATAGCTTATGCAATTAATACTATTTCTCTTATCTTTTGATATTGTGCTGCAATTGCTCTGAATAGACATGTATCAATAATTTATTATGTATAATTACATTAAAATTAAATTAATATTTGATATTTTTTCGGATTATTTGTTTTTTTGCCGAATTTCATATATTCAACCTTTTTATGAAATTATCAATGTAGAAGAATTCTACATAATCATTATAACATTGCTGTTTTAAAACGCTGTTAACTATAACATCATTCCATTCAATGGCACTACGGTCCAAATCGAACTCTTCTCGGTCTTCTCTGGAGATGAGATTCCGAAACAAATAATTTTTCCGGAATTAGGTTGTTAACCTAAAGTCGAATCCCCAACCTAGGGAATCAATGCATCTACTGATATATCTACTGATATATGAGACCTACAGTTTTTAACACCGGCTCCGAACGGCGGTGGCAAATATACTCTCGGTGGTTTGCCATTGCCTTCCGAGGGGTGGCAATCAAATCAAACTTTTGTGTTCTGGGTAGATTTGAACCCTGGGATTTTCGGCATAGAAAGTAGTCACACTATAACATCATTAACGCTTTAAAATAGAAATTTTGGCAGTTAGATCCATTAATAAGCGTATTAATTATGTCAATATTTAAAAGCGAGTTAATGTACAAAGGCACTTTCGCTACTACGCGCGTGATGTGCTCTAACTGAATGCGCGAATTTCAGACGCTACAATTGACGAACTTTAATCGTTTATAATTTAAAAAATATTATAATCTCGATATTTTCGTATAAGACTTTGTCTTAGAATGTTTCACAAAATCTGTTAGTGAAAGGAATCGCACTCTTTCTGGGATACTTTGTGTTTATACACATACGCATGCACATATAAAAAAATTGAAAGAAATTCTCGGAAAGATAGTTACAAAACCGAATTCTCTAGCTCTATTTTTTTATAGTTACAAAATATAAAAATAAAAAGTAATATTACAAGAGATAGAGCATAGTTTGCGATTCAAATCGCAATTTAATTCATTAACATATACCTGCGAATGCGTTATATGATACGTGCAGAGTTGATTTTGCATTTCCACAGCTTGACAAAGTAAAGAATGAAGTCTGCGTGGCGGTAACATAATGGAGGGTGGCAGAAATCTTTGCAGTCTGTCCATAAGTGCAGACCTGGAGGCTGATCCTTTGCCATCCCAACCTGCGCGTGTCTGTCAACAAGTGTCCATTTGCTAGTGATCAAATTTTCAGTTATAAATTAGTTTCAATTATATTTTAAGAATGAGAAAGCTTCAGTTGTTGTAGGAACTTATTAGTACACGACCTAAATGAATAAAATGCCATACGAAATCTCTGTTCATTATTTAAATCAAATATATGGAATACCTGTAATTCATCTCGTCCACTGCACATCATAAATAAAGATAACTGGTGAATACGACCGGTATTATGCCCCAAGGGTGTAAGCTCATTGCGCAGTACATGTAACGCATCAAACACCATGCCTTCTTCTAAATATTCTAAATATTTTTGTTCTAGCAATAAGAATTTCATCTCCTACGGATAAGAAAAAAATATTGATCGAATTGTCAATCAAATGTTTTACTAAAAGTTTGTCTGCAAATCTTCCTAGCTTTTTAAAATTGCATCCTTCTTCTTATCATTATTTAGTATTTAAGTATTTAAATATATTTCAACAATATCTGTGCGTATGTATATATGCAAAAAATTGTGTAACTTTGGAACATCAATATTTTACAATATTTTGTAGAATACATTCCAAGGTTGGTCAAATTATATTAAAAAGTTATCAAAGGAGATTTATATTTATGTATTAATTGAAATTTAAAAATAATTCCATTTTTTAAAGAGCATTTTATTGTACTAATAAATCTTTTAAAATGATATAGTTTTCTAAGTGACTCTTCATTAAATTGCCACGAAAATGTTTACATTTTACTATCGTATTTGAGCAATGTCAATGTTTACATCTGACTGTTAATTTAAATATCAAGCAACAATTATATATATAATTTTTACTACCAGTTACCTTAGACGATCTACACACATACGCGCGCGCATACGAACATTTCACACATATACATACATATGGCAAAAAATGTATATATTTTTATCTTGTATGTGATAAATATACATGTATATAACAACAAACTAATAAAAAATATATAATAAAAAATTAATATATTTATTATACACTATATATAATATAAAAATAATAAAAAGAATATGTAACAAAATATTTACATACAATCTATAAGAATAATCGTCAATTATATGAGAAAAAAGATTTACCACTAAACTCTGGCTTGCACTATCTAAAAAAGACTTCAGTTCATTGAGGTCATGGTCTGCTTTGTTCCAATCGCCATCCATAACATGCTGCCTAAATTTTGCAGCAGCGGGATGATCTAAACGACAGCCTGATTCTTGCATAAGCAAATCTGCTGTCCGACTAAAAATAATATATTTTTTGTTACACGTTAATCATAAATTATGATATTTAATCTTATTACAAATTTATATAAGTGTATAAATGTGTATTAAAACTTTTAAAAATGTGTATTAATAAATGTACAGACATGAGTATTTATATTAAAAAATAAATATAAATATTTTACTTTCCAAAGTTATTGAATAATAATATACAGGATGTTCAGTAAAAATCATAACAACTCTTAAGGGTAGATTTTTTAGATGAAAATTCTAACACCAAAGTGTCAAGGATATAATAGTTTTTGAATTATAAACACTTAAAGCTCGCGAATACCATTTACAGTTCGCGCACTTAGATGTGATTGAATTTTCCGTTTCTGAACGCGCAAACTTTAGTCAGTATGATTCAATAATTTTAAATGCTTATAATTCAAAAACTATTAAAGCCTCGACATTTTGGTATTAGAATTTTCGTCTCAAAATGATTTCAGAAATTTATTTTTAACCGTTGTTACAGTTTTTACTGAATTATATAGATATATACATTCTGTATATATATATATATATATAAAATTTATTAATTCTCATCATTAAAGTAATTTGAGGATATTATCATAATTTTATTTAAATCATCTATACTTATATGAAAGGTAAAAATATTTTAATACTCTCTTAAGTTGTCCAATATTATAAAATATAAATATGTATAACTGACAAATATACATCTGTATCAAAGTATATTAGAATTCTCAAAGTATATTAGAATTACTTTCTATCATATAAATACAGTTCATATAATTCTCTTGATAAATTTGAATTAATAAGAATGAAAAATTGATTATTTAATGTTATTTTGGTAAAATGATTGCATAAAGAGTGTGCATACATGCTCATGCGCATTTATAATTTATGATATAAAAAGACAAATATATTTAAAAATGAGAATAAACTGCTTTTTTACTTTTAGATTAAAGTCTTTTAACTGATGATCTGAGCTGAAAATAGTGAAAATTAATTATAAGTTACATACTCCAAACCAACTGTCTTTAAATGTTGTCCAATAAGTCTCACAATGTCTTGATTAGTTTTATCCATTATTTTTGGTGGTCCCAAACTCTGATTTATATCTCCATTCACACCATTAATGTCATTATCTGATTCTGGTAATAGATTGCCATTAGCATGAGGCCCACCAGAATCTGCCTTAGCTCCATTTTGTTGCAACCCAGAAGAAACACCACCATTTGAGGCCTGCTGTTGCATTACGCTGTCATGCATACTGGAATATTATCCATAATAATGGCAATACTCTATTACCCTATTCATTTGAGGGCATATCAATTAGTATATCTTATTTTTATAGAATTTGAAATTAAATTTTCTCAAGATTTTCTATAATCCTGAGAGATTTATATAAAAATCACCATAAATTGCAATTGTTAACAAAAGAAAAAGTATAATTCAGCACTAATTTTATTATATTTAAAAAATTATATTTAAAAAGTTTTAAAAAGAAAATAAAAAAAAAAAAGGAACATAAAAATATGTCGGTACTCCCGAATTTTTATTTTATTAAAATTGTACTTTGACGTGATTATACAGAAAAGTGATGAAAAAAAAATGACAGATTACCGATAATTATCCATGTCCGGACTGGAGGAGTGGTGCTCGTCCGCTGGTCTTAGGGTAGTCGGTACAGAACTACGGGACCTTTTGCGCGGTGGCGGAGCGAGTCCACCGTCGTCCGACTCGCTGCTCGAGGCCAGGCTTATGCGCGTACCGCCCCGTTTTTCACACTATTATTGTCCCACGGGATAACCGTTGGCGAATAGTGACACGAACTGAGACTGGGGCCAGGATAGAAGCACGCGCGCAGCCACGATTGTGTGAGGAACGAAAAAAAGAGCCTTTCGCCTTGTTTTTTCTCTCTTCACCACTTGTCGCGTCCGATCTTAAAAGTGTTCGCACTTCCTCGCGTGTCCTATGCCGTGGACTAATCACCGTCGCTATTCCCGCCGTTTCCGCGAGACTCGATGATGAATGTCAAAGGAAACAGGATCTTGTCTGCCAAAACCGATGCGAGTCAGAGAACAATGACTGCAACACAGCTGATACTTGTTTGGATCCGTCGTTTACGTCACGTCGCACTCTTCTTTACGGATAGATTAGCGATAGTCGCGCCTACTACATCCGCTCGTTACTGTGCTCGCACAGTGGGTGCATTCAGAACGACAATCGCCTGATCATTTAATTGGTATATTCCATTAGATCCTAAAATATAGACCAATCAGATAAAAGAGTTCACTGAGCGTTCAGTAAGCGGTTTAAGCGATTCCGTTCCAAATGCAGCCAGGCATATACAGGCTGCTTTCCATTTGCTGCATTCCAGTGACATAATTGCCTATTTGCACTGGACGATTTGCACTGGATTGTTGTCATATCCAATGAGAACTCTGCTTTGCATTGTCATGTGAAAAAAAAAGCAGAGCTTTCATTGGATATCTCTCAACGCGTCCAATCACGTAATCTAACGGAAATAAAAATAGCAGTAAACTTATTTTGTACTAAGGAGTTGGCAGTCTAATAGTATACACAGTCTGTGGTTCTGCAGCCTTTGTGCACAGGACCTTACATTCCTTACAATGGAGTAAAATATATGTGTCATAGTGTCATGATGTGTCAGTATATGTGATAAACGCAGTGAAATTATTCTGTTCAATTCTGTTTTTCATTGATTGGTTTCTGCTAATATCATTAATAAAATATTTGCAATCATTGCGATTAATGAGTTAAAATGTTTGGCAAGAAAAAAGAACCAAGACAATCTAGACCAGTTGGTAGTTTAGAACAGGTATATTGTTTTATTCTTTTTCATAAATTGTGTATCATGCTGACATCTCTACAATGAGTCAGTAGTCGATAGTCTTAATTGGAAGTTAATCAATATAGACAACTTGTACAACTAAGGCTACCGATTTTCTTAAGACTGGTCAAATTTGACTTTATTCTTTTCCATTAGTCGAGCTAAATGACTCGTTATACCTACAATTAATAACTTGTAGATACAAAAAATTATAATTTACATTAAAACTGAACTTTCTACAACAAATCATTATCTAATCTTAATGGGCTTTTTACAACAAATATCATTATGTAATCTTTAAATCTTAAGTGATAAGAAAATGACCAATTATAGTTGATTATTCTTCTCTCATTTGATTGTAATTGATCAATTTCTTATGGCTTAAAACTTAAAGCTTAGATAATGATTTATCATAGAAAATCGATTAAAAACACTTAGGATTTTACATTTATTGTATAGAACCCTGGTAAGATATTTGATTACTGACTCACTGTAGATTTTGGATTATGATTATTGTAAGTTATAATGGATTAGTAGTATATATTTGTAAGTAGTTAAAATATATACATTTGACATATTTTTATCCTGTATGTTTGTATTGTTTGTTTTATATCTTTAATTTTTATTATATTTTATAATAAATTATTTCTCTTTTTCATGTATAATGATCATGTTTTATATAGTATGGCATTTTTGAAATACCTGATATAAATATCGGCAATATTAATAATAACATGAAAGATGATGATGATGATGATGATGAAAGTTTAGAAGTTGAATTAGCTGCTTTGGCTGCTGGTAACGATACAAGTTATAAAAGCAGACGCAGTGGTAAGTTGGCTTTACAAATTTTGTATTTTATATTACAGAAACATACATAATAGAATGAGAATTATCACAAATTTATAATATATAGTTTATTCTGTTAATCTGTTATCCCTTTTATTTTTTTTTTGTTTGCATGATGTCACTCGATGGTGAACATTAATGTATCTTCAATCTGTTACTTTAGATTATATGGCACCAAAGTCTATAACCTACATTTTAGAGAAATTTTTTTATAAACATTTTTTTAAATTTAAATGTTCATTTTTTACAAAAATATTGTATATACATAATTTTGAACTAATAAAATACTACAGAACTTCTCTGAACCTATATATAAATGTTATATTTTATTATAATTATTATTTTGGTAAATGTTATAGCTACACGCAAAAGTGCTGCTGATGTAAATTTGGATGAAATGACTGATTGCTTAAAAGATACAAATTCTGATGAAGAATCAATTGAAGAAGATGATGATCCTGCATTATTGGTACATTAATATATTGCTTAATAATGTATTACTATCAGTATAAAGTATGATTGATTACACTGAAATTTTTTATTGGTTTAGAGAGAGTTACAGACGCTCACAGGAAATGAAATTGTGACAGAAAAGGCAGATATGTCAGAATTAATGAAAGAAGAACAAGCAGAATCTAATAAACATGAAACTAAAGAAGAAGATAATTCTACACCAAAACTAATCGAATTATTGCAAGAAAGGCTAAAAATTTATGAGATAGCTGAGGAGAAGGCAAAAAGAAACAATGAAACTAGTAGAGCTAGAAGATATAACAGAGGTATAAAAACATTGAAAGAAATGTTAGTTTCTGTACAATCAGATGAAAGTATAAACGAAGCTGACATTCCTCCAGCTTTGCCTTCTTCAGCTACCACTGAATCTACTGTTCAAAATATAGGTAGTATATTTTTTTTTTATGTATATACTGTCTCAGATTTTTTTTACCTATGAATTTATTTGTTGATTATCTGTAATTAATCTTATATTTTACTTTAAAGAAGAAAATTTTGGTATGATGTATAGACAAGTTTTTTAATTCATTGATTCATCAATTATTCATAAATGCAGCTTTTATGAAGCAAAGTTGCGTTTGCTTATAATGGAATAGAGCAATCAATAAATTAAAAAACCAACGAGTTTGCATGTGAAAACAATTTTGATGAGAAGATTAAATGTATAACTTTGTATTTTGGTATTTTAATTCCTGGCTACATTTATTCTATTTATACTGTAGTTTTCTAGATATTGGAAATTGCGATATTGACTTTTATTTCATGTATACTACTTTGTTTTTATTGCAGAAGAAAAAACATCATCACCAGTGAAAGTTAGTGAAACAATTATAACATCAGATACCTCAAATAATGATAATTCTCCTGCAGTAGAAGATGTCACAGTTGATCAAGAAGCTTTGGATAAATTAAAAAAACAGCAACAAAAATATAAGACTGCAGCAGTTGCTTGGAAGAGGGCGGGTAACAAAGAGCAAGCGTTAGAGTATGTAAAAACTGTAAAACAATTCGATATAGTTATTGCTGCAGTCGCTGAAGGTGAAAAGCTTGATTTGTCAGATATGCCACCTACCCCAATTTTACCTTCTCCAACTAGTACTGCAACACCAGCTGCAAAAGAAGAAAATGAACTTCAACAGCAAGGTGCTCCAGGTAAGATGTACAAATTCTTCTAGATTGTAAAATCTTTTAAAAGATATCATACATTTATTAATAACGATGTAACACACACGCGCGCGCGCGCGCGCACACACACACACACACACACACTTTCACATACGATCAACATCTTCCGTTCTATGAGCGAAAAACTTTTTTGCAATTATCTGAATTTTTTTTGCATTTCTCAATACCAGTCTCAAACATATATATATATATATATATAATATATATGTTTATATATAAATATATATATACATTTATTTTCTGATGGCCTTCGAAAGCAGCATTTCGTGAAAAGAGATATCAACTTACAATTTTTTCTATTTAAACTCTAATTCTACTGTACTAAACGTGCGTTTTAGTATATACGGTTTCTGATAGGTTGAAAACTTTTCTTCCTTGTCTTTTATTCCCTGTTTCTATTTTTTAATGTTTTATACACATACTATTTATGTGTTATTGATATATGTATTACTACATACTATTACATCAATGGCTGCGTTCAGCAGAAGGCAACAATTTGTAATCATTTTATGATTGTATGATCAGCAGACGCCATGATTTCCAGCAAATTAAGACCTGCACATGCTTTTCGTAACAGTAATGGTAAGACATACTGTAAGAATTAGCCAAATCACAGTCAAAAATTATGAAAAATTTTCAGTTCTGACATTTTCAAATCTGTAAAAAAAGAAAAAAGAAATTGCAACACAAAAATTATTGCATTTAATCCATAAAATAGACGATATAATATCCCTTTAAGGGAATTCTAAAGTTGTATGTACCGACTAAACGCAATAATTTTTGTATAGAAATTATTTTTTTTCTTTTTCACAGATTTGCAAATCTTTTTTCAGGATAAAAGTATACGCGTTAGTACGTGTCTGTGTGAAGCGGAGTTTATACCGAGAACGAATACAATTTTTTAAATTGAGACCCTTACCATTTCTTAATCCAATATGGCATTTAAAGCTCCCAGCATTGTGATATTTGCTTAATATAAAAGTTTTGTAATCTGTACTTACGAAATTGTGATTCACGAACCAGTAGTTTATATGAACAAACAACGTGGAATTCTAAGAATTAGACTTAGACGTCTAATTAAAACTCTGTTTTCTACAAAAATTCATGTATATGTGTGCGTGAGATATTGATTAGTAGTATATAGCGATATGTCAATGTGTCGCTTTTATTAGTATAATTGTAAAACAGCGATTTGGGCTTTCTCACTGTCTCTCTCTCTCCCCTCCCCCCTCCCCCCTCTCTCTACTATAGAATCTTCTTAAAAGACTTATCCAATGATATCTTATTCAACCTATGTTCTTATTAAAAATTTCAGTCTTTATCTTGTTTGTCCTACTTTTGATAGCTTCCAGAAAATTAAAATGTTAATATTAGAGATAGTTCAGATAAATTTTGATAAGGGAAATTTTTTCCCCAATTTCCACAATTCATTTCTAAGAAGAAAAGGTAATGTGAGGTCTAATACACTCTGTATACAAATTCGTATTTATGATGCACAACAGAAAGCTATACATAATATTCAAGTTTTGATTAAAAAAAAAAAAAAGAAAAATGTAATAATGTGATTATAAATTATTGTGTTAGAAGCTGGTCCAGCAAAGTGCAATCCTGAGAATATAGAAGGAGCTCTCAAAGAGTGTCTCGAGGTATATAGAAGAACAAAAGTAGCTGCTGAAGATGAGGGTAACACATCTAAAGCTCGGAGATATGGTAGAATTTGCAAACAATTTGAGGATGCTATAAAGTTATATACTCATGGAAAGA